GCGTGATCTTGGCTCACTGCAAGCTCCGCCTCCCAGGTTCCCGCCATTCTCCTGCCTCAGCCTCCTGAGTAGCTGGGACTACAGGCGCCGCCACCACGCCCGGCTAATTTTTTGTATTTTTAGTAGAGACGGGGTTTCACCGTGTTAGTCAGGATGGTCTCAATCTCCTGACCTCTTGATCCACCCACCTTGGCCTCCCAAAGTGCTGGGATTACAGGCATGAGCCACTGTGCCCGGCCTATTTCCTCCCATTCTTATGAAAAACATTCAAAAAGGCATTCAGCTTGAATGCCCCCTTTGCAGTGAGATCTTCCTGACCCTCTAAATTAACCATGTACCTTCTCATCTCCCTCTCCTGTCACCTTGGTTTTATGTCAGCGAGTACCTGTCACTCTCTGACGTATCTTTTTCATTGAAAATACTTATTTCTTGTTTGTCTCACCCCAATAGAATATACCCTCCATAAGGGCGGGATCTTATCTACTGTGTTCAGCACCGTAACCCCAGCATCTAGAACGGTTCCCCGTGCACAGCAGGTCCCCAGTGAATATTGTGGAATAAGTGAGCACTCAGACAGCTGTCTAGGAAGCTTTTGAGTAAAAGAGACCATGGCCTGAGTGTTCCTGAGGGAAGTGCCTGAGCAGATGGGACTTGGACCAAAGCGTAATATAGGACTTTCCTTCTGCACCTGCCTCAGTGCCTCATCTGTGTCCAGTGCCTTCGGGCCCTCTGCCCAGCCCTCCCGGCCCCTGAGCTGTCCCTGTCGGGCTGCGCCTATTAGTGCTAAGCTTTTTGTGTGTGTCGTCTCATGTGATCCTCTGACAGCCGCGTCAGGGCGGACCTCACTTCCCTCTTTGGACACGTGCGAAAGGGAGGGAGGCTCAGAGAGGGCAGGGGAGCCTGGGAGCTGAGACCTGGACCTGGTCTCTGCCTTGAAGCCCTCCCCCTGGTCCATCGGTGCTATTTGCCCTCCAGAATCAGAAGTGACTTTGACAGTGGGCTGGGGGCGGTGGCTCATGCCTATAAATCCCAGCACTTTGGGAGGCTGAGGTGGGTGGATCACTTGAGGTCGGGAGTTCGAGACTGGCCTGGCCAACATGGTGAAACCCTGTCTGTACTAAAAATACAAAAATCAGCTGGATGTGGTGGCTTACGGCTATAGTTCCAGCTACTCAGGAGGGTGAGGCCCGAACCTGGGAGGTGGAGGTTGCAGTGAGCCGAGATCACACAAATGCACGTCAGCCTGGACGACAGAGTGACACTGTCTCCAAAAAATAAAAAATAAAAAGAACAATAATCATAAAGTGACTTTGACAGTGCAGCTCTCAGGCTGGGAAGCACAAGCACTGCCGCTAGTGGGGTCACCGAGGGAGCTGCCTTTGAGCTGGTGGGCCCTGCCAAGTCCCTCTGGCCTCCCAGATTTTGGCGCCTTCTTCCTCCACAAGCCCCAGCCTCACAACTAGGGTGAGAAAAAGATTGTGTGGAAATAGAATCGAAAGCCCAGGGACACGGGGTTCAGCTCAAAGCTCCACAGACCTCTTGGTCTTTTACTCATGAAATAGGAGTAATGGGTGAAAAGAGAAGCAGCAGGAGGAGGGTTAGTGGGATGAGACGTGCTTTGCAGGCTGGAAAGGGAATGATGCCAAGAGTGGCCAAAAGACGCTGACAGGTGGGCACGAGAAGACAGCCGGAGCTAGCCCCCGAGACAGTCAGGCCGGACCAGGCACGTGGGTTTGGACGGTTTCTAGAAGGTGCTCAGTTTTGCCCAGCCAGACACAGCGAGTTATGTTTTGGGCAAATGTACTTGCAGGAGCTGAAGCAGCCACGGCTGCTGGGTAGGGGAGCGTCAGTTCCCAGGCAAGCCAGGGCTGCTGGATCATGGATCAGGGAGCGTCGGTTCCCAGGCGAGCCACGGCCACTGGATCGGGGAGCATCGGTTCCCAGGTGAGCCACGGCCGCTGGGCCGGGGAGCGTCGGTTCCCAGGCGAGCCACGGCTGCTGGATCATGGATCAGGGAGTGTCGGTTCCCAGGCGAGCCACGGCCGCTGGATCGGGGAGCATCAGTTCCCAGGTGAGCCACGGCCACTGGGTCGGGGAGTGTCAGTTCCCAGATGAGCCACGGCTGCTGGATCATGGATCAGGGAGCGTCAGTTCCCAGGCGAGCCACAGCCGCTGGGTTGGGGAGCGTCAGTTCCCAGGCGAGCCACGGCCACTGGGTCAGGGAGTGTCGGTTCCCAGGCGAGTGCACATCGCCATCCTGGCCAAGGGCGTGGGTGTGCCCTTAACACCCACTTTCAGTGGCTTGTTGATGTCTTCAAAGACCCATCTTTTTCCCTTCCCACATCAAGGCTCTCTCCTTGCTCTGTGCATCCTTCCTGTGAGACGTCTCCCTCCTTTCTGTGTTCAGGGTGACCCCAGGCTCTGACAACCTGCCGCTTCTCAGTCTAACAAGCCAGGCTGCATTTGGACAAGCCACTGGATTCTGGGAATTCTACACTTACTGACTTGCAGGTAGCTTAACAATAGTGAAAACTCCAGGATCCCTGGAACTTCCAGGCCCCAGGACTCCTGCCAGGGGCCCAGGGTGTCACCAGGAGAGCTCTGGCCTGGGAGTCACAGGCAGCATCTCGCCTCCGCCCTGCCTGTGGAGAGGCCCACAGGAGTCTTGGGGTCTGAGTGTTCTCTTCTATGAAATGATGCCTTGCTTCTTTTAGGGTCTTTGTAGTTATAAAGCCATAAACCCCTTGGCTTGGCTTGAAACTCAGGCTCCCCCCGACCCAGGCTTGCTGGGTCTCGGTATTGAGTTGTTTAACCCGTGTGTTTGGGCCAACACTGGTTCTTTCTGGGCAGAACCGAAAACCCCCCAAACGTTTTATGTAAAAAGTGCGGACACACGTACTGCAATAAACAGATACCCACGGTATCTGCAGTATTAAAAATGTTCTTGGGGGAGTATGGTTGAGGAAAAAATGTTCTGAAAAGCTCCCTAGGGGAACCACAATGAAAACAAAGTTAAGAAACACCGATTTAACCACAAAAGCGTGCAGGGCACCATGACCGGTCCGAGGTGAAGAGACGGGTGGTAGCATCTCCTCCTCTCTAGGGTCTGTCCAGAGGCACCACCGCCCTTCCTGCCTCTTTCTCCCAAGCTGTGTGTCCTCCTTCCTTTCTTCTAAATCCTTTTTTAACATTTTTATTATACTTTAAGTTCTGGGATACATGTGCAGAATGTGCAGGTCTGTTACACAGGTGTACACGTGCCACGTGGTTTCCTGCACCGATCAACCCGTCATCTACATTAGATATTTCTCCTAATGCTCTCCCTCCCCTAGTCCCCAACTGCCTGACAGGCCCCGGTGTGTGATGTTCCCCTCCCTGTGTCTGTGTGCTCTCGTTGTTCACCTCCCGCTTATGAGTGAGAACAGGCGGTGTTTGGTTTTCTGTTCCTGTGTTAGTTTGCTGAGAATGACGGTTTCCAGCTTCATCCATGTCCCTGCAAAGGACATGAACCCTTTCTTCTAAATCTTACCGAACACTCACTTTTGGTGGGTTTCTGGACACATCTACATACTCTGGTGGTCATGGCTTATTTTTTTGTGGCTTTTGTTCCCTGAAGCTATGGCATTGCTGGTTCTACCAACGTGACGGGTGATCAAGTTAAGAAGCTGGACGTCCTCTCCAACGACCTGGTTATGAACATGTTAAAGTCATCCTTTGCCACGTGTGTTCTGGTGTCAGAAGAAGATAAACACGCCATCATAGTGGAACCTGAGAAAAGGGTGGGTCCGTACTTCCACCGTTGAGGGTTTTAAGGCAGCTGGTTTTCTTCCCAGCTTCGTAACTGACTGCACTTGTTTAGCGGAGTTGGGTTCTGGGAGTCCCTCTAGATCCCTCCTGCAGTCTTTCCACAGCTTCCACCTCATTGCTGCCATCTCTCGAACCCTCCCTGCGCCACTGTGCAGATAAGTGCTGTGGCTCACGCTGCCCTCTCTCCAGTGGACTCCCATGAACTCATCTCCATTTCTAACTTTTTATTGCCATGTTTAATGCTCTTCAAACCCTGACTTCTGTTGGCCATCTCTTTTACTACATCCCCATCCACCAGATTCCTGACCGTCACACTGACCCTCCTGGTGGCCTGGACTGCTGGAAACTTCCACCCCTGATGCATGCATTGGAGTCCCTGGTGGTCGGTCTCGGCTTCTTCTTCTTCTTCTTCTTTTTTTTTTTTTTTTTTTTTGAGACAGTGTTTTGCTCTTGTTGCCCAGGCTGGAGTACAGTAGCGTGATCTCAGCTCACTGCAACCTCTGCCTCCCAGGTTTAAGCGATTCTCCTGCCTCAGCCTCCTGAGTAGCTGGGACTACAGGTTCCTGCCACCGCACCCAGCTAATTTTTGTATTTTTAGTAGAGACGAGGTTTCACCATGTTGGCCAGGCTGGTCTTGAACTCCTGACCTCACCTCGGCCTCCCAAAGTGCTGGGATTACAGGTGTGAGCCACCGCACCTGGCTTTGTCTCTGCTTTTTGAGAGCAGAAAATGAATCTTATTTGTCTCTGTGTCCCAGTGTCTAGTGCAATGCCTCGCACATTGGAGGGCCTCGACAACAAATGACTGTTGAAAAAGATTGTTAAATGAAAGAGTATTCCCAGATTTTACAAAACAACAATTGTAATTAAAAAACAAAACTTCTGAGATTAGATGCACAGTTATATGGGCTTACTATCTTTCTCAGCTTGAGAGGAACTGGGAACATGAAGGAGTAGAATTAGGAAAAAACAGTGAGAAGATGAAGAGGCTGCCTGTCCTCACCCTGTTAAGAGGGCAGGAGCCACATCTGATAAAGTTGTTTTTCATCATTCCTAATAGCCCTCCATGCTGGACTTGACGTTCATGTTTTTCTCAGCTGGGCCTTTCAAGGTCTTTGGCTGAGTGAGGCATGTAGCATAGATTTGTTGTTTAATATTCTCCATCACTCACGCTGGGCTGCTCTGTCTACCACGGGCCTTCGTGACAATTCGTGACAGGCAGGTTCCTGTGTTCCGGTTCCAGTTCCTCCTGCGTTAGTGAGAGAGGTCTGTGAAGAGCAAGAGGGCAGGGAATCATGTGAATCTGCTACAGACATTTAAAAACCACACTGGAAAGTGGCTAATTTGGGGATGGAAAACTCCCAGTGGTGTGCTGGTAAACTGCGTCTCAAAGCAAACAAGTCTCTGATACGTCCCCTTGCCTCTGTCAATGGTGTGAATACTCTCCCGTCGTCGATTTTAAGCTACCAGTGTGACGTCACTGAAGGCAGAGCTGGGAAGAGATGTGCACGGTTAGCTCCTGAGAGCTGATACCAACCAGCTCCTGCACACCACTGAAAATCCCACTCAAAGCAGGAATCTGCAGTAGTCCCACTACCACTGCCAGTTATCTCCTTTGGGAATTACACTAGAAATTTGTTTTGTTTAGTTTTGTTTTTAGAGACAGGGCCTCACTCTGTCACCAGACTGGAGTGCACAGTTGTGGCTCACTGCCGCCTCGAACTCCTGGGCTCACGTGATACCTCCTGCCTCAGCCTCCTGAGTAGCTGGGACTACAGATGTTCAGCATCATGCCCAGCTAATTGAACTTTTTTTTTTTTTTTTTTTTTTAACAGAAGGAGTCTGTGTTGCCCAGGCTGGTCTCAAACTCCTGGGCTCAAGTAATCCTCCCGTCTTAGCCTCCCAAAGTGCTAGGATTAGGCATGGGCCACCGTGCCCAGCCAGGATATTTTTGAAAACTCTATGCATCCCAACCTCAAGGGGCATCTGTAAGACTTCCACGAGAAGTTTCTTACAGGTCTCAACTCTAGTGAAGTCTCTGCTTCACCTCAGGAATTGCTTTTTCCTTTACGAATAAAGGAAAATGAGTGACTAACCTTGCTTTTCTTTTCCCTTTGGCTGCCAGGAAACTCAATGCAAAGTTATGATTTGACTGTATCAACAATGTGGGAAATCATGACTTATCTGTATTCCATTCCCTTCATCCGCACCTCCTAAGTGGTGTTTTCTCTGTCTAATTGTCGTGTGTGTGTGTCCGTGCGTTCTCTATGCCATTTCATACCTTCCATGACAGAGTATAAATAAATAAGACCCACATTTTTTGAACTTTCCTCTGAATTCCCACTCTTACTCCCTAATGTATACTCCTTAGTGTATCTTGCTACAACATTTTAAGGTTGTGTTTCTTTTTTCTGTGCTCAGGGTAAATATGTGGTCTGTTTTGATCCCCTTGATGGATCTTCCAACATCGATTGCCTTGTGTCCATTGGAACCATTTTTGGCATCTATAGAAAGGTAAAGCGTGATATCTTCAGCACTTGGTTTGGGGACAAAAGTTAAGATGGAGCATCCAGTTCTATTTCCCTGTGGCAGAGCAGCCGGAGTGGAGATCATGAGACTCTGTGAGGCTGAAGTAGCTTCTGTCAGGCTGAAGTAGCTTCTGTCTCAAGTTCTGAGCTTTTCAGCAGTAATTGCATGACGAAGACCCACTAGGTTGTTGAAAGAAAATATAGGGTAAAATATGGGTGGGAAGAGAAGGATATTTCACTCCTTTTACTATATCTTACTTTTTAGGATAGAAAATGAGATTTTAAAAAAGGAGGCAGTAGAGGGTGAGTATAGTGATGACACGATGTGAACTGAGAGTTGAGAGCGTGTGACAACCATAGAGATTATTTAGGTCAAAAGTGTCCTTTAAGAGTCCCCCAGTCAATGGTCCCGGGCTGAGTCCAGCCTATGGCCTAATGTGTACAGCCTGTGAACAAAGAATAACCATTTTGCATTTTTAAATAGTTGAAAAAAACTAAAGAACAGTGTTTCATGATCCATTTTAAGGTTTACTCTCCACAAATGAAGCTTTAATTGGCATTTGGTCACATTCATTTGTTCACGTTGCTGCCGTTGGCTGATTCTCCGCTACACTGTCAAAGTTGTGTAGTTATGATAGAGGCTTTATGGCCCATAAAACTGAAAACATTTACTATCTGTCTGTCTGTAGCAAAAGTTTCCTGAGCCTTGCTCTAAGTCGTAGAAAGCACACTGGACAGGACGAGAACCCAGCCCTGCCCCGGGTCTCCTAACACCTGACTCGGGCAGTCA